AGAAGAAGAAGAGAAACAAATAAATTGCATCTTTTTCTTTTGGTTTTTCAAGCTCATTCGGCTGTTAGCTTCTCTCGAAAAGTTGAAAATATAAAAAAAAAAACTTAACTCTTCGCAAAAACTAACAACAAACGTTGTTTTTTTTTTCTTTTTTTCTTTCAAGAACGAAAGTAATAACTGTGGCAATGCCACTGGGTAAACATTGTAAAGCAAAGTTCACAGAGGTGAAAGTAAAACAAAAAAAGGGAAAACTGTTTGAAACGCTTTAATATATTTTCACGCCGAATGAAATAGAAGTTTATTTACACACTTTCATTTTTTCACGTATTTCATGTATTGTGTATTTCGGCAGCAGTCCTTCATTTATGCATGTTTCATTAAAAACGACAGACAAGGTACTACGTTTAAGCTTTTTATTTAATTTTTCTTGTGTTCGAACAAGTGTTATTTTTTCTAGTGGGGGGGACACAGTTTGTGTAAAAACTTTTCAAATGTTCTATAATTGCGAACGCTTTTGATTATACATACTATTATTAAACAAAATTCATAAATTATTACATGGGTCACACGACTACATGCCTATCCAGACGACTTACGTTACACCTATCCGACTACAGCTCCATATTAACTCATTTAAAAACACTGAAACTTACCAGACTCCATCCGAAACATACTAGTAGAGAAAATAAACATAATAACCTTATCCACCTATAGAAAAAGATTAAAAATAATAGAAGCCTCAATAATAAAAAGGGGAAAAGCCAACACTTAGTAATATTAACTACGAACACGGCCACAAGGTGCTAACCGTGTTCGGAAAATAAAACATCTATATAACACTAAAAACATACACACAATCCACGCACCCAATTAAACTGAAAAAATAAGATCATCCTTGATAGCGCTCGGAATTATGAAACATTTGGATAGCTTCTACATACTCTGTATCCAAAAAAAGCAAACATTTATTCGAACGCAAGAAAAATTAAATAAAATCTTAACCGTAGTGCCTTGTCGTTTTTAATGAAACACACACACACACATATATATATATATATATATATATATATATATATATATATATATATATATAATGTCGAGAAATCTATCACTTAACTGAGTGATGTTATTTCAGTCATGCCGACTTCGAAGTTTCGTGAGCGCATTCCAGTAATGCTTTCACTCTTCAGACAAAAATTTAAAAGTTTATTTGTAACACATTTCATCCGTTAGGACTTCATCAGACAGGGTTTACTGACGTTGTTGTGACTGCACATGCGCATAAACGAGAGACGCTGGTAGTTTCAAAATTTTTTAAATAACTTTTCGCAATCTAGCCAAATTCATCTATATTCTTTTTCTTTCCATCATCTTTGCATTTAAAACCTGTATCCTATACAGAATTGTAATTCTCCTAATGCCAATGACACTTCCACCGAGCTTCTCTACGGCATATGACTTCACTGAATTTTGATGTGTTCCTCTCGAATTTATATTTAAACTGGGGTCATCAGGAGAGAACGTGCACCGTTTCGGGGCCTTCCTCAACGGTTTCAGTTGCACACCGGCCCCCCTCACTGATGGGAGGCCCCATTATAACGATGTACAAGTGTTGTAGATAAACTAGTTCAAAAGTGTAACGGCGAAATTAAATTTACGAACATTCCGAAAAACGGCAAACATCGCGTTCTGAGAAGGCAACGTGAACCTCATTACGCATTCACGATCAGTCATGTCATACCGTCATGTTCGCTGAAACACTCCACGGGGTATTTCGTTTTTTCCATATCCACATAGAACTATTTTCTGTTACTTCTATTAGGCGTTTTATACTCTTGGCCCTATTACGCCCTTTGATTCCAATTTGGCCCAGAAATTGGTACAGAGTGCCTGAAACGAAACCCCTTGCTCCAATTTCCACTGCTCTAACAATTGTATTATACCCCTCCTTTATTAGCTCTGATTTTAGATTTTCATATTTATTAGTTTCATAATTGTGGCTTTGTTCCATCCGGCATTCATATGGTACTGTTAATTCAACCAGGATGATTTTATAGTTCACCCATGACAGAAGAACAATATCTGGTCGCAGACCTTTACTTGATATTATTTTGGGGTAATCATTACGACAACCAGGAAGGTCTGCAGATACCTCCCAGATGCCACCAGAACTAAGGAGATTTTTTCCGGTTATAGCATGACATTTGCTTGTTTGCTTAGAACCGACATATCTTTTTCCTTCTGCAACAAATTCCTGGGCTGAATTTGATGACTCAGACTTCATATATTTCTTTATAATTTTGACCAGCTCATCCAAAACACTATTGTGCCTCCATGTATATCTTCCATTGACAAGGGCTGTTTTACAGAAACTAAGAACATCTTCTAATGTTTGTGGCTTTTCCTTACACAGGGGACAAGTAGGATCACTCTCTTTCTTCCATTTAACAATATTGTTCTTAGATGGTAGCAGGTCATACGTGGAACGTCTTAAATAACTCAACCTGAGTGGAGCCATCTGCCAAATGTCCTTCCAAGTGATAGATTTATGCAGAGTCTCCTCTCAGTTTGTCCATTGGCCTTGTTGGGACTGTTGTACTCCTTTTACGAGTCTTTTTTTATCTTCTTCGTTCATCACATTTTGGATGACCATGTCACGGCGATCTTTACCAGAAGATTTCGACCACCATTGCCTTTCATTTAGTCCTAACCCTTGTTTCCCTGCTTGAGTGTATCCGATGACTTCATTGAAAGCTAGATTGTCTTTAGCATTTATTATCGTCTCTCTGACCTTCCACTTTCTCTCTGTTTTTAATGTTGACTTTAGTGCTTTTATTTCTTTACCCTTGGAGTCATCCAACATCATTTGAAGTCTAATTTTTCCGGATTTATACTCTTCCACAATCGATTTAAATGGCAACTTTAGTTTTGCTTGTCTGCAGTACAATGCGATATCAGACAAACCTGGAGGCAAACCCAACCATTTTCTGATATATTTGTTCATTTTTCTTTCCATTGACTCAATTGTACTCATTCCAAATTCGTACACAAGTATGGGCCATAGTAGCTTTGGAATGAGTACATGCTCTAAGCACCATACCTTGTATTTTCCTTTTAGAGGACAAAGATCTATCTTATGGAGATCTTCTTTTAATGACCTGGATGTTTCTTTTACTTGATTGGTATCTTTTAAGGATTGAAACAACTTTACGAGATATTACTTAGTAAATATCAGGCAAAATGGCGAACATAAACTAGAGTTATAACAGAAAATAACATGTATCCAATACTTATGTGTGTCACTGTATATATATATATATATATATATATATATATATATATTCATGAATTATTCACACAAAAAACAAATACAAAGGTTAATGATTTAAT